ACTATTTGTAAACTGATGTTTACTTATTTTTTTTTTTAAATATCAATAGCATTTGTATTAAAACTATATTCACTGAATGTAATCAAAAAATCAAATCGAATCGAGAGCTTGCAAATCGAAATCGAATCGGGACATCTGAATCGATACCCAGCCCTAGTATCGATGTATCGAACACAGCACTAAACATTATCTGAAGCAGCCATTCTTTACCTCCTCTAATTCTTTGACCTGAGAGCGGTCCTGCTCCTCAGTTTCCTCCTCCTCAGGCACTTCTTGTCGGGCAGTCTGCTCTTCCCTATACACAGTCGGGTATTCATCCACCTGTGAAGAACAATCAAATATGTACTCCATTCAATGGAAATTCAAGCAGGACTTGAACATCAGGGCTAAACTGATCTCTTGTACTTCATCCACTGAAACACCTGCTGCGGTGCGTGTCGTAGGTCGGCACAACCAGAACCTGTTCAATGCCAAAAACGACACTGATGAAGATAAAACATTAGAATGACGCAAAATCACTTCTGAATGAAAATGTTAATGCCACATCTGAGAGAGCGGCAAGAAAGGCCCAGTGTAGCATTCTAAAGTTGGGGAGGGGAGGGGCGCACTGAAGTGGAGTCTTTCTAAATTAGCATAACAGTAGGAGCCCAGTCTCATTACTATGCCCTATTACCATTCCTGCTGATATTTGAAATTCAATGAGATGTAAATGTTTGACACGATACACAGAGAACAGGAGATAAACATGCACACGGCTCAGTGGTGGTGAAAATATCATTGACTGTGTTGTCTTTACACAAACAAACACACACACACACACACACACACACATAAATAAACAGACACAAAGAAAGCTCTAGCGCACACATAACTCACTGACAGGGAACATATCATCATGTGACTCCGAGCAAATTCTCATACACGCTCAAGCACAGAATGTACAAAAGCATCCGAAGAGATGGGCGCACACTTCTGCTGACTACTTTGCTGAATCTCACGTCCTCCGCCACAGATCTTGTCCCCTTCCGCACGGTCCTGTCTCTGCTTCTATAGCCACCACAGGTCCGCTCTCCATCCCCCTGCTATACCTACAGGTCCTGTTTCTGTCCATCTGTTAAAGTCTACCGGGCCACTAGCCCATTCCCTCTGCTAAAGTCCACATTTCACTCCTTAAATTGAGATTTTATTTTGGCTGTGGGAAATCTGAATACACTGCAATCAACCTGACACACTAAACTCAGTAATCTGAAGCAGAAGTGGGCAGTATTGAATTAAAACTACTCACAATATAGTCATGTTTGCTTTCACAACAACTACTTAAGCTAAATAGCTACGCTGTAAAGCCGTTTTTGGATATTCGAGTGATTTAAAATTTACCTCATTGTGCTAGTACCTTGGAATCCCATCCCCGCAGGTAAATAACACTGTGACAACACTGGTAAAACATCTAGTATACAATAAAGTAACTAACATATGTCTGTTAGTGATGTGACTAATGTGCATAAATAGGCAAATACATTTCAAAATTCAGTCAAGCTGTCTGTAATGACAAGGTACTGATCTAAATAAAGTCGGTTATGTCTTACGTTAATGTAAACAGGCAGGACAAAAAAATGAAACAAACAAACATTTTTAAAGTTGGGTCAAAAGCAGTGGTTCTTAACATTTTTTTTTACTCAAAGGCTGTGCATTGTCCAATACAATAATCAAACGATCCACATTATAAGATTTTCTGCCTTTCTGCTGTAATTATGACAAAGCTGCTTGTTTTCTAGCTTGTTAACTTTTTTATTAACAGAAACTGAAAGTGTTCATATTTTACATTTAATAACCACAATTTATTTTGTGATCCCAGTTTCAAGAACTGCATGTTCTTAAATAAAAACTACTATATATTACAACTATACATTACTACTATATTCTTTAAAAAAAATTATGCTTTTTTAGCATTTTAATTTAGAGTTAGATTATTTTGATATATTAATAACAATTTATTAATTTAAAAGATTTTAAGTCATCCTCCATCCCTCTTGGATGTTTGCTGAGGCTCCCTGGTTACAAGCCACTGATCTAATGATTAAGGAAACCGTACAACCAATTTTAATTACAGACTTGCTTTTCAGTCAAACCACACGTACTCTTCATTTTCAAATAACAACAAGATCCCCCTCCTCTTAGCTTATTTGGGACATGTCCCACTCTGCACTTTTGTATAACTCTGTTTCTTCACTGATCTTACAGGTAAGTAACATAAAAAACAAAAAGCAGTATTTCTCACTTATAGCCATGCACATACATTAGAGTCTTGCCAACATGCTTATAGCGACTAACTTTTCACCTTTAAGCACTAGCACATGATTCAATAGCAATTATTGTCAGAGGGCACCTTTTATAATGTATTTAGACAACACAAATTTCACTGCCATGGAAAGTCAACAGTGCTCAAGCAAACTTATATTGGAAGAGACAGTGTTTTTTTCCAGTCATATCATTGAGAAAATGTGTGCTGTGTGCCATTACAAAACTCTCCAGGTCACTTTGCGACTGTGAATCCAGATCTCAGTAGTAAGAATAAGCCTTTATTATAATATACAGAACTAACATTCAACAGACAAACTTACAAAATGTGATTCGAGGGCAAGCCTTCCGTGCACCTGTCAGCACTGTCCTGGACGCCGATGATCAAGCGATCACATGGCTAGGCAGAATGATCAATGACATCTGTCCAGCATTAAAGGTCAATGAAAGACAGAACAAAAGACGTAGTCTGACGAGCCTTGACTCCTACAGGATTTTATCAATCTCTCTGACTTTGTGTAAAGTGACTAACCCTGATGCTTCATGACCACACTTCCCCAAACAATTTCTAGGTTCTGGAATATTTTGTTTGTCGTTGAACACTGAGTACTAGTACACACACAAATTAGTAGTGCATGCATTTAATAGGAATTTAATAAAAAATCTCAGTTTTGGCTCAGAAATCTCAACTTCTAGTACAAATCTCAATTATTAAAAAAAGTATGTGATACAAAAAAATAATAATAATAATAATAATAAAACAAAAATTCTGCAATATATATATATAGACTAGTGCCTGTATTCGGTAATGCGATATATCACGGTAATGAATACGCACGATATTGTTATCTTGGGCACTTCTAAATACCGTGAATAATTATATATTACAAATTATTCAGAATTTTGAATGCATTTGAAGAATACTTTTCCCATAAACTGGTCAAAATGCACAACACAGCTGTATGCTGCGTGAAAGACGAGTGCACACTCTGATGTAAACAAGCGCTGACAAGAAGCACATGGCAGAACATGTGAGAGACGCTCTGGATGAAAGCGCACTTTCACTCTCTGACAGCAGATGGCGCTAAACTGCAGAAATAATAATAATAATAATAATAATTCATTTAAATACAGCCGTTACCCCGGAAACCCTGTAAACAAAGCAGCTGCACTACTTCCTGTTTCTGAATCATGTTTAAATGATTTAAATAGCCATTCAGATTTGTGTATTTGCTATGATGTTCATCACAGCGCCAAATACTTAAATATTTAGACTTAATAGGCTATTTATTTTCAAAATTTTTAAATGGGTTTAATATATCATGCAGCCTTGGGAAACAGTCTAATGTGTTTTATGGATTCTCGTCCGTGAAATGCGCCACTTCCGGTATTTTGCCGGTTAGTCGACGCGAGCAAAATGAAGTCGAGGATTTAAAAAAATCGAATAGTCGAATAAAATCGATGAATCGCGACAGCCCTAATATATTACATAACATGTCAAAGTTGGCCTTTTCACTTGTAGCATCTCTCCAAAAGAGAAAGAAAAAATGATAATGACCTGTTTGGAAACTACATTTTGCCTTTGTTTATTTAGTTCAATTAAATACAACTGATAATTACATGTAATATACATTGCTACTCTTCTTTCATAAAATCTGCGATATCTTGATCTCAGACATTAGAAAAACCATGGAGTTGTCATGTCTAAACCAGAGGCGCATTTGGTATTGCTGACAAGCCCAGTAAGTATTTAAGATACATTATGACTTAAGACTGGTATGATCTCAGAGAAATTCACTACAAGCAAATGTCCTCTACAGAGGACAATGAAGAATTGCCAGGTGGCAGACGCCAAATGTGAAGAACTGTATACCAAGCATAACACAAAGTCGGACATACAGACAGACCTAAATGACTGACATGTTTCCTGCACACAGCACATGAACTGACCACCTACAGGGCAAATAGTTAATCCTTTAAACCATTCCACACATTAACTCTGGATAACAGTAAACACAAAGATGCTAAGCCCCAGCAGCTAAGTGACCTTGTAAACAGCAATATCACACGCTCAAACAAAACGCAGAATTTCAATCAACTTCGCGCTGTGGATTGCCGGATCGGCTTTCACCGTGGACGAAGCGGAGTCCAGCCCGGGGTCATCACATGTGATTGCCGAAAGCCCGCCGGCCTCCGCTCACTCTAGCCCTCCGGCCGCCATTCACTCAAGCCGCCGGCTCTTTTGGAAGGACCCGACTAGAAATCAGTGGTTAAGTTGTATTTACAACACTGTTCCAGAACAGTTCAACCCAAATATTCAGATGTGTGCAGCGCATTTTATGGAATGCGCACGCCGCTTTTACAAGCTATTTAAAAGCGAAGGAAAGCGAGGAAAAGAGGGAAAATTCAAACAAACTAAAAATTAACAATTGCTTTACTCCGAATTGCCGCTATTTCAAAGTGAAAGTAAAATGCGCACGCCGCTTTTACAAGCTATTTAAAAGCGAAGGAAAGCTAGGAAAGGAGGGACCGCCCCCGCCCCCGCCCCTGCGGTGATACCGGTATTACCGGTGTTGTCACACGTCGATTAACCGGTGGGAAAATTTCCTCACCGTCACAACCCTACACTGGATGCAACAAATGCCTCGTTTGTAATGGGTTTTATTAATTTTGTCTGGTCGTGCCAGGAGACGGCATCAATTTAACGTTAAACCGCATAAACACATTTCATTACACCAAATACACAAAATAATGTTCTTTTTAGCAACATCATATGACCCCTTTAAGCAATGACAATATTCTTCAAGAGTGCTACAAACAGCTGGCAAAGGTAGTTTTTCACCTTTGTATGTACAACAAAATTCTTTCCCATGTCTGTTGACCCAATGACACTAAGGAATTTTGAATACGCCATTAGCACAGAGCTTGGAATAGACGTAGTTATTGTAGATAATTCCTAAAAAAAAAAAACTCTACATTTGAACTAAGACAGCTGTTTATAGATTGGGAAAGGGCCTCTAATC